TGCAATGGATCAAATGTAAATGGCGGGGTTTCGATCTGTGCCAGGACCACATGCATCTCACGTATGATTTGCGTTCGGTTTCATCCTTATGCTGTACGGCCTCAAATGGCATGGTTAGATTGCCAGCTTTGGTTAGCTGATTGGTAAACATGAGCATGATGCTCTCGTCCAGCGAGGAGCGGAACGTTTCGATCATCTCGGGCGGCACAAAGTCGCGATTGATGTCGGTGAAGGCGCGCGTATCGTAAATGATGCGGCCCGTATAATGGGCCACGGATAGCTCAGTGGCAGTGTGTTTCTTCACGAACTGGCTGTGCTTTTCCGACACGCGGTCTAAACGGAAGAGCGGAGAGATTAAGTTAGTAGGGAGCTGTCAAGAGAATGAGGAAGAGCCCTAGGCTTACCCATAATCAAGTCCTGGTCCTGACAGGAGCGCGACGCATCGTCTATGATGTAGAAAAGTCCGTCGGGCTTGGTGAGCAGATTATCTAGCGCCGTCTTGTTATCGTAGAAGTTAAAATTAATGGTATCAATATCCTCCGCTTCCATTTCCAGCATTTCGCTAATGAAGATGCGCTGATTGTAATGGTACTGCATTTGCTCGTTCAGTGTATTGATTATCAGCTGCTCCAGGCCATTCCGATGGAAGCACTCGAAGCCGTACATATCATGCACGATTATGGCATTCGTGTCGCCGCTGTAAAGGCAGGAAACCTAATATAATCCAAGAGTCTACGGCACATCGGAAGCAATACTTACAAGACGGCGCGTGGAAAGGACATGTTCATGTTGATTCTGTTAATGATAAAATCAACCAGACGCGAGTAAAGCGTAGAGGCCACCGCATCTCGAGCATCCCGTGCCTCCTCTGCTGTATACTGTCGCCGCTCGGCAATGCCGCCCTTGACCATGATGAAGTTGGTGAGCGACCACATGAACTTCTTTTCATCGACGCGCAAAAGCTCTGCAATGCGCGAGACCATGTCGGAGTTCTCCACCTCGGCGTATTTGCCCGACGGACGGAAGCGTATGTTGCCAATATTAAGAATGGCAGCTAGGACTTTTCGTACCGTTTCCAGCTGCTTGTGGCTAAAGTCCAAATCGCGCAGAATGCTCTCGAACTCCCGATAGCGCTCCACATTGCCCTCAGGATCGTCACGACGATACTTGAGCTTGGACGGTGGACCATCTGGCGGTATGCGCAGATAGCGATAGTTGCGATCCGCCTTGAGATTGTAGTCCTTCAGCTGGTTCTGCTGATTGATAAAGTCATAGAAATAGTAAAAGATGTGAAAGTTGTGCTGGCTGCCATCGGTGGTGGCCACGCGCAGCTTCTCCAGCATGTACATGTTGTAGACGGCGCCGCTCATCTTGCCCGTCTTGCCAAAGGTCAGGCAATACTGCAGGACACACCGCGTGGAGTCGCTATTAACCGGTGTGCCAGCATTCACCAACATGAGTATGACCTTAATGGAGCTCTCGACGCGCACCGTGGCGCCACGATTGCCAGAGCCCAGATAGCAGAGATGCTTGATTAGCAGACGGGCATTCGTGGACTTGCCCGCAAAGCTCTCGCCGGAGAACACAATGTGCTGCGGTTCGCGGTGATGCAGCATATCCTGATAGGCTATATCCGCTACGGAAAAGATGTGCGGCTGATTCTCCGAACGTGACTTGCATTTGTACTTGGCATGGAACTACAAAAGATACAACGATTACGGTTTCTGTTTGGCTGAGCAGTTGGTTTTATGAGAGACTCACCTCAGGGCTGAACTCCTGCTTGAGCTCATTGGAGTTCAGAGATAGCAAAATGTCGCCAATGAAGCTGTAGGACTCGCCCATTTCCATACGGTTGCGCAGCGAGTCGAGGATGCTCTCGTCCACCGGATTTTCCAGGGCCGCCAGATCCTCGGGATACATGCGTTCCGGTTTCTCATCGAAGCGCTTGATGTAGCCCCGGTCCACAAAGAGTTCTGGTTCCTTGTAAAATGTCTTGACATCGCTGGCTAGCTCCAGCATCTCGGCTAGGTCGGAACGCATTTCCTCCTCGTTCTCGATGAGTTCGGTGAGAAAGGGATGCTCCACCATTTCCACCATCATGGGCCGGTTCTCAGCATTCTTCTCCAGGCACTCGGCAATAAAGTCATTGATCTGCTGCGACCAGTTCGTCGGACGCGTCAATGTGGGCGGTGGATTGCGCACAATTGCAAACATGGCCCTCGTTGGATGCATGTCTGCAAACGGAGGCTTACCATCGGCCAGCTCAATGGTGGTTATGCCCAGGGCCCAGACGTCGGCACGCACTGTAATGTCCGGCTCACGGGCTTCCATAGCTGTCACCACCTCGGGTGCCATCCAGCAGGGCGATCCAATGCAGGTGCCCCGCTTGCCCATCGTCGAGTCCACCTGGCGCGACAGCCCAAAGTCGCACAGCTTAACGCATCCGTTTTTGGTTAATAGAATGTTGTCGCCCCGTATGTCCCGATGCAGAACATGGTTGCGGTTCAGCTCGATGGCTGCGCGGCAGGTTTCCCTGATGATGTAGGCGATGTGCTCCTCCCGCATGCGACGGTCCAGCTTCAGCAGCTTATTAACCATGTCCACGGCGGTGCCACCGGCGCAGTACTGTAAACGATTGAAGGTTAGCTGGATTGGAATACGGCTGGTGCTTTCGCCTACACACTGACCTCCATGACAAACCAAATCTCATCGGGTCCATTGGGTTTCGACAGCTTGTAGACGCCATAGAACTCGGGCAGATTTGGATGTGCACAGTAGTCGCGCAGCGTGCGATATTCCTCCTCAATGGACACCTGGTGCTCCTCATCATAGTGCTGTATCTTCAGTGCAACGATGCGATCAGTTTCCAGTTCCTTGGCCCGAAAAACCTTCGCATTGACACCCTGCGCAACCTCCTCATAGATCTCGAATTTATCGGTCGGATCCGGCAATTGCGTATACGGCAAATACATTTTGTCCCACTTGATCAGGATACTCTCAGGATATAATAGTTGCTAAAGTTTTTTATGGTGATTAGGTCACGGAGGGAATAACAAAGGTAAATCGCATTAGTAATTTGAAAGGTTTCACCCGATTACCAGTGAGCAGATGGGGTTGCTTAGGGTTGAGGCCCCCATCGACAAAAATTGGAAAGGGTTTAGTTGAGGCAGTTGTAACACAACTGAAATTCCTTCGGAAAAGTCAGCCAAGGATAATACGAAAAGGGTTTTTTGAAGAAAGAAGTATTCCAGAATGTTTAAGTGAACTTGAACGGATCCTCAAATGATAATAGGAAACTTTTAAAACTTTTGAGTTGTTTGTGGAGTAACAAACTGTTAAGCAAAGTTATATATATCACTGACTTTTAAGATCTAGCTATGGATTTTAAGCCCAATCATTATTTAATTGCCCTTTCGGCTCGGTCACTTAGGAAACTTATCTATTTATAAACAATTTCGTTACAGTTTCTTTTAATGCTTTATATTTTTTTTAATGTAATACATCTTGCAGCATTAACCATCGAGTATCCTTATAGACAGACCTTTGCTTAGAAGTAATTTGCCACAGAACGAACGTTGATGGTATCCTTTGTTGCTGTAGGTGAATTCCCGAACCGACCGCACGCTTGCAGCACGATGCGCTGCAAAAAGCCAACTGAAAGTTGTGCAAACGGATTCCTCGGCTTTTTACTGAGTCGAAGAAGCCCCGCAGCAGCGCCATGGCATGTTGGCCAATTGTCTATTCCAATTCACGCTGAATTGGTAAGACCACCCATCCCTGTACCTTGGCAACTATTTAGTCAACTAATTGAATTAGAAGCCCAGTCGCAGGCAGCGCGACATTCACGTGAAACAAAGGAAACGCGGATAAAAGGGGGGGATTAAGAGACAGAGAGAGATAGAATTGAATAGAAGTCAGCTGATTGACAGACTCTAAATGTGCATCTTATTATTCGTATTTACAAGTTTTCGTAAATGGGATCGACCGCTAAACTAAACATTAAATATACACATTCACATAATGGATCCATCCATCGATGGTAATCCTATAGTTGTCCAATATTAAGTGTTTTAATCTAGAAATATGTTTCTGTTTTTCGGTTTGCATAAATTAAGTGTATTTCGATATTGTTGTTATTTTAGTTGCTGCCGCTAATTGAAGAGAAGTCTTTTATCAGTTCTCATTGCCTCCGTTTCTCAATTGCACACACTTATCCACTCCTCCACGTGGCATTCCTCGCACTCGACGCTACAGCACCATTGAAATTTACACCGACAGCGTTCGGCGCGTCGTTCCTTAACTTGGCTGTGACCACGCCCACAGCAGAGGGAGGCGCAGCCGTCGCTGGTTGTGGAATTGCGATTACATTTCCGACCAAATGTGCCTAAAACGTATGGAAGGAAATAAGTTAAATAATTCAAGTTTAATTTGGGAACATTTTTAGAAAGTCGATAATTATTTTATCGTAATTAAAAACTATCTATCATTAATTTCCTCAAAAAAGCGATAGTTAGATTAATTTAAGAAGATTAATAAGGTTAATTTAAAAAGCAATATATTATGATTATTATATTGTAGTTATCGATAAGCTATCAAGTAATCGACTGTATAGAAAACTCTATAAAGTACTTAGTCGATAACCCTTGTGTTGTTAGTTACAATTCTAATGATCCATCGAGTAATGTATCGATTAATACATACTAAATTATTATAGTAAGCAATCGATAGCTCGTTGGATCGATAGTTTATCGATAGATTGAATACACATTATCGATATATTTTAAAATTTATCGATGCAATAATATTATTATTTAGAACTTTGATCCAAAATTCGTACAATATATTGAATATATTTAATAATAATATGCTTTACTGATCGATTAGAATATAGCCTTGACTGTCTAACAGCTTTATGTTTTGAATTCAGAGAACGTAACGGCAATATGTATCTAAGTAGTAGTAGTAATAACATTATTTATATAACAAATTCTACAGTTATATATTTAGATCGACATTTTGGGCGAAATTTATTTGTTTATTTATTTGGTAAGCCAGAAGCATTAAATCAGTCTCCAGATGCAAGTAAGTTTGCAAACGAATTAAAGTATAGATTTATCAATGGTTAGCTTGAGCGATAAATTGCTTCGAATGGCGACATTTGCCGTAGTGCTCCCCATCTGTACAGTTCACATCGGAGCCATTAAAAAGCGATAAATAAACAATTAAGTGCAACGCTAAGCAAAGTATCATAATTGTTAGATGTTAATTGCCAACGTTAATTGCCATCATTTGGCTAGACACGGCACATGAATCAAGCGCCTGTTCAATGGGGCGACCAGTATGGTGTTTGGCGGGCTTCGGGTTGGACGGATGCAAAACCAACCCCGGTAGACCCCGGCCTCCCCCCGAGCCCCCGGACCTCCCTCGGCCAGCGGTAATTATAAATTTGCGTCGTAATTAACACTTTAAACTGGCCCGCAGTCGCAGTCGCTTTTGATAATTTGCAAATGTGTCAACAGCAACAACAACAACTGCAGCCACAAAATGGCTAACGAAAATTGCAAGTGGCAGTTAGACGTAAATGTTGTTGTTGCTCGGTTGTTGTTGCTGTTGTTGCCGGTTGTTGGCTGAGTACGTGCCGTGCGCATGCGCAGCTCTCGACTTTGTCGTGGCGCATTTTGAGTTATGTGGCATGCTTGGTAGCTCCGTTAATAAATGGTTATTTTTTTTTTGCAGTTGTTGTTGTTTTTGTTGTTGTTGTTGTTGCTGTTGTTACCCGGCTGCTGTTAATTTGCATTTGTGATTTATTTATTAGAGGCAAATCAAATTTATCGCTTAACCAAATGCTAATAAATCATTTTTAATTAGTTGCCCCTTGTCTGAGTGTGACCGAATTTTTGACATTTCCTTTTTTTTTGACAATCTGCAAATTTTAAAAGTATTTGCTCTTATCATTTTTTTGAATATCGATTCGAAGCGTTACAAGTAGGGCAATGAGGGGCTGTGCAATATTATTTATGAGTTCAGAATAGTTTTTTGGATTGGGAACAAACACACTCAAATTTTGATTATAAACTAAATTTTTAAATAAATTTGTGCATAAGTCAATATTTTGTAGGTCGCACTTCTTGCTTTAAGCAATATTAGTAAAGATCTTAGCCATAACTTAATGGAGGTTCTAGAAGGTTTTTACAAAAAGTGGGAATATCATTTCTACACATACTATAATAATATCTACTTGTTCTCAGGAATACTACTCCAATTGATGAATCTATCACTTACCCTGAATATCTGCGCCCAGGTCGCGCTCACAAAAGTTGGGCGAGCGCTGATAATAGAAGAGCGACGTCTCCAGCTTGCGTGCCACGCGCGCCGCGTTCTTATCACCTTTGGGCTGGCGTGTGCCTTGTTCGGCGTCTAAGTCGCGCTGGCTCCCGTGACCCGCCAGTGTGCCAGACGCATCGCCGCCAGCCATATCCGAGGAGCCGCCGGCGCCGTTGCCACCGTTTGATTTCTTATTGCGTGCTCGCTTGAGCACCACGACCGGCTCACCGTTGCCAAGATTCGATTGATCCACCAGAATGGCCTTGCGAAACTGATGCTTCAGCACTTTGCCCACGATATGGAAATCGGGCGCCGATTTCCAGCAGGTCTTTAGCTGGCAGCTACCCGACATGCCGTGACATTTGCAACGAAACTCCATATTGTTTGATACGGCCTACAAATTAGAACGAAGAATTGGTATATTGGGCATATCGAGTCAAAGATTAATCAATAATTGAATTCTAGATCTATAATTCTAGATTATATTTGAAAAAGTTTTTCCTTCGTGCTGACATTTTTCTTATCTACAGATGATAATTAATACAAGCTAATTATAATTCAAATAATTATCTGCATGTTTACCTTGTCATATTTCAATACTAAACTTTTGCAACAATTTTTAAATTTTATAATAAAAAGACACTTTTATGAAAATAATATTGCCCTGTACCTATCCTCTATATTTTGTTCTTAAAAGCTAAATTTTATCTCTTAATTTTTATAATTTGATATACATATTGAATGATTAGGAAGACACTCGATTTTGTTGACTATTTAATATATAAATAAAAAATAAAAAGAAAATCAAATGTTTCACTTACCATTCGGCCCGCATTGTTGTTGTGCAGATTAATTTTGGATTGTATATCGCCGGCCTTTTCGCGACAATCTAGAAATAACTTGGAATATTCCACACCAAAGTCCATGTTGTGAGAGCAGCCGCCCCATTTCCAGCGACTGGCGATTTTGGAGCGTTCGTATTTCTTCTCCTCTTCGGGCGTTAGGATTTGATTCGTTTCCATATATTGGAGAAATTGCTTCTTCTCCTTGTCGAGCGACTGGCGCAGATTCTTGTTGAGTGTCTTCCGATTTATGGTCGGATCACAGCCGCAGGACATCAAACGGCCTTGGCTGCAGGCGCGCGCCACACTGTGGGCCACCCCGGCCGCTGAAATGGCAAAGGCAAATGCGCTCTCCCGATAGCCTGTTGAGAAGATTGTCGAGATTTCAGTATTGGAATTGGAATTGGAGCTGCAGTTGGAGTTGGAGTCGGAGTGTGCCACCTGGGATTCATTGCAAACTATCGCAAAATATGCGGCGTTATTTTTAACACTGAATGCCCAAGCAGTTGTTGTCGCTGTCTTTGCGATCGTCCAGGGAATTGTGCGGCATTTGGCTTTGACAAGCGTTCGGACAAGCGTTCAAGTATTGCCGCCAAGCCCCAAATGCCGCCAGCCAGAGCCTGGCCAATTCAATTGATTCCATCGATCGATCAGACAAGTTTTAATGATGCAAAATTGTGGGCACAGTCAGAGCCCCGGCCACAGTCCCAGCCAGAGCACACCCACCCAGGCGGTTAGTTGACGGCTTATGCAACAGCTGTCAAACGGCTGTCAAAATTGACGTTAATCATGACCGACATGTAACGTCATTGAGCGGGCCAAAGTTGGCAACATTTGTCAATCGATTGACATGCAAATTGTCAGCGCCACTTTGCATAAGACAAACCAAAAGCCAAAGCCAATGCGCCGGCGACAGTACATATGTCAATGTGACAGGCGTGCATCAAGAAGATGGTAGCTGCTAACAGGTAACTAAAAGGGGGGGGAGGGGGGGACATACCTGTCAAACAATCAGTCAGATGGTCAAGAGATTCAGAGTCCGTCCGTCACTCAGGATGCGCACGAATGCAAATGTCAATGTTGTGACAAGTTGTCGTTGTCGTACAGCCAAGGCGGACGAGTGATCCCAGCGATTCGGCGATCGAACGTTCGATTCGATCCAATGTCAATGGTGTAATGCAAAAGTGTAGCGCGCATTTGATTGACGATTAAGACGCCATCAATCAATGCATCAATGCGCACAGTAGCCGCAGCCTAGCAGCTCCATCTACCTCTGTCTCTCTCTCCCCCTCTCTCTCTCTTTCACTCAGGTGATCTGTGTGATCGTTGATCGCTGATCGCTGATCGGTCGATTGGGTCTTGATTTATGCACGCTTTGTTCCCCCTCTTAGGCCATTTGCAAATCCAAATCACATCATTGCCAGCGAGTTACATTTGACAATGCCTTGGGGCCAGTGACGTGCTTCTTACTGCGCATAAATTGGCAAGCAGCGATCGAGTCGGGCGAGCAACCGATCGCTGCACTGGCCCCAAACAACGACCTGTCCCTGTCCCTGTCCCTGTCTCTGTCTCTGTCTCTTATGTTGCAATCCCAAGTAATTGTTTGCGACATACGTCGCTCGCTTGTTGTCACATGCATTTGGCTGAACCGAGACCAAGATAAAGGTCGATCGTCGTCGACGATCGTACGTAATCCTTTTACTACTTTTGTACATGCCTGCTGCCGCAACAGTCGCAGCCCCACTACCCACATCTCAGTCCCCAGTCCCAGCCTCACTTGATTGACAATAATGCATGGCGAAGTAGCAGCAACAGCAGCAGCCGCGGCGGCAGCAGCAACGATCTGCGACAACGACGACGACGATCAACGATCGGCCAGTTCCATAAGTTATAGTAGATGTATGCAAAATAGTTGACCTGTCCGTGCGCCGTTCGATTGTCAGTCATTGTGCCTCTCCGACTTGATTTGTTTCGTTTCACTTGGCCGATCGTCGTCGATCCCTCGCTGCTTGGGGCTGCTCAGGTTGCCCGGTTGCCCAGTTGCCTTGTTGCTGGCCTGGGCTATGCCTCTGCCCTTATAAGTCTCCCAGTCGCAATCGTTGCACGCGTTGCTGTTGCCTGTCAATATTGACTCTCGTTATGTGCAGTTCAGTTCGGTGTTTCCTTCCTTATTTAATGGACACACGAACGGGCCGCTTGACAAACAGACAACCGGACAGCCAGACAGACAGACAGCCGGCCGGCCAGATCGGCAGACATGTCACTGACATAAGCTTGGGTTTACCATATTCGTACGCTGCGCGCCCCGTTGAAGGCTAGTCGAGAGTTACTTGGAAGTGCTGCTCCGCCTGCTCCGCCTGCTCCGGCTGCTCCGACTGCTCCAGCTGCTGCTGCTGCTGGTGTGGCATGCATTTGGAGATTTATGGTTCGGCATTGTTATATTGGGCAGTGTTGTTAACTTTAACCCGGCTCATTTTGGTATTTGGCTGGATTAAGTTTTGTGCACTTGATGCCAGTCCCAAGATTATGGCTAAATGCAAATTATATGTAGATATGCTGTAATGACATTGTTTTGCGCTTTGTCGGAATTACTAAGCAACCATATACTTTGCTTCTGCAATGGGAACTACTTTTTAACTTATCCCTAAACTAAACGGATCATTCGGTAAATTTACTTATCTAAGAGAAAATACTTTAGGCTAAATGGCATAAGATATATCTATTATGTTGTTGCATTTAAAAGATATTATATTTTTTGATATCATCTATTATTATAAAGCACAAATCTGATTAGAAAATCTATCTGATCTCTCAGCTGGAGGCTTATCTTAACCTAAGCTCATGCCTAAAAAATATTGAAACATAAGTTTGTTATTATTGATATGAGACTACACAACAATTTTCTTATAAAACTCGAGAGTTAGATATATATATTTTCTAAAAACTTACTTTTCTATTTATGGCATATAATATTCTATCTTATATCTGTAAATCTTAAAAAAATATTTGAGTTCTCATTTATATATCATTATTTAATTTAGAAACCTAGCAAATGTCTTACTCTACCTTTATTATAATTTTTAAAATAAATCAATGCACCATACTTTTAAGAGCATTAGCCGCAAATAATACATATTTAAATCCAATGCTGATTATCAATATTGGAATATTGCAAATATAAAACGATAAGCTCAAACGTACTAGAACTAGACACTGTAACTTTTTTTTTTTTTGAATCAGTTCAAGGGAGAAAAGAGTCAGATTCTAAGATGTTTGTCCATCTACATAATGACTATATGCATAAGAAAAGTGCATTTCATTTCATGATCTTCCTCCTCCTCCTTAATCTCCTGCTCTTAATGCTCGTTTGAATAGAGTAGCTTCCAATTGGGAGCAATCACTTGTAATGCGCTGATATGAGCTTTACTAACTATAAAATGATTCTACAGCCACAAAAAAGCATTGCAAGATTGCCTTATGCTCCATCTTAGGGTGTTTGAAGTTGATTACAAATCGGAGTTTCTTTGAAAATATGCGAACTACACCGAATCGTTAATGCTTTTAA